GTTAGCTGAGGAGCCCTGGCGGCACAGTGGTTACGCGCTGGTCTGCCAATCACCAGGACAGCAGTTTGAAACCACCAGCCGCTCCTCAGGAGAAAGACCAGGCTTTCTCCTCTCGTAAAGCGTTCCCGTCTGGGACGCTCACCTGGGTACGTCTGCCCTGCCCTCTCTCGGGTCACTGTGGGTTGGAATCAACTTGCTGGCAGTCAGTTTTTTATGTTTTAAAAAAGCCTGACCATTCCAAAGACTGATGAGGATGTAGAGTAATTGGAACTCAGATCTTGCTGGGGAGAATGTAACACGGTGCGGCTCTTTTGGAAAACAGCGTGGTAGTTTATTATAAAGTTAAACATGGCCCACTATCCCCGATGCCCTCGCATCTGCTCTGACTCATGGTGACACTGTAGGAGCAAGTGGGGCTGCCCCAGAGGGTCTCCAGGGCTGTGATCCTGACGGAAACAGACGGTCACGTATGACTTCCTTCCCACTATACTTTTGGCCAGCAGCCCAGCCCTTAGCCATAAGATCATGGGGGCTCCTTAGACCTACTGTACACCCACTCCTCACTCAGCAACATTAGATGCCAAAGGCGAGCGTGTGAGGCCCAAACCGGCGTGATGGGAACAAGGGGGATGGGCCACACTCGACCGCGCCATGGAGGACGACGGCGTCCCGGCACGACTGCACGGTCACGTTGTTACATAAACGCCACGGCCCTGGACGCCAGGGCCCAGTCAAGTGGACACACAGCAGCGTGACTCTCGCCTTGCACCCTGGCAGTGTTACCGCCAGGGGTCAGTAATGGGCGAAGTGTTGCAGAGTACAATTCTTAGTGTTGTTGTCGATGCAAGAGGACAGATAACGAGATAGTGGATAAGGGAAGAGGAGATGCAACCCAGCAGTCCTACTCGTGGGCATTTACCCATGAGGCATATCATCATCATCATCATCACAACTTAGTCAAACAGCCCCAAACTGGTAGAAATGCAAATGTCCATCAAAAGGAAAATGGGTAAACACATTTGCTATATTCCTTCTAAGGAATACTAAACCCAAACCAAACCCTATTACTACTATTTTCATTTCTCTGTTAGATAGATGGAAATAGCTATGACGTTTTATAGAGAGAGTTGATTCTGCCGTGGAGTGGATTCTGACACTTAGCAACCCCGTACCGGGTGTCTGGCACTGTAACTCTTTACGGCAGCAGACAGCTTCTCCTAAATAGTGGCTGGTGGGTTTGAACTGCAAACCTTGTGCCTCGCAGCCCCAAACTTCTGTCCCAGCCACAGGAAATCCTGATACGCAATGTCTGGCAGTTGGTTGGTACCGTTGTTTTCTCCAGGAGCGAGATGAGATGGGCGGCACAGAGAAACTATGAGATTCCCCCAGGCCCCCCAGCGGTCAAGCAGCAGAGTTGGGATGTGCAGACGGCTCAGAGCTCCTGGCTCGGTGCTCTCCAGCGCAGCCGGAAAGCAGGCCTCTGATGGGATAGGAGTGGCTCCACGGGGGGCCACCTGGCTTGTCCCAGTGGACTGTGCAGAGAAGAAGGGCAGCAGGAGGGGGTACTTTGGTTCCAGAAGTTTCTTAGCAGTGGCTGCATCGCTTTGCAGTCACTGCCATCCCAGGGGTGTCGATTAGAATTGGATGGCAACTGCTGGTTGTTTTTGAAGTAGGTCAAGGGGACTCTCTTCCAAGTGGCTCTGGGTAGACTCAAACCGACAGCTTTGGTTAGTAGCTGAGCACTTAACCCGCCCTCCCCCCACTGCTGTCAAGTGGATTCCAACTCAGAGAGAGCCTCTAGGGAAGATAGAATTGTTCCTGGGGGTTTCTGAGGTGATAGATCTTCAAGGAAGGAGACACTGGTGAGTTCGAACTGGTGACCTTGCAGTTAGCAGCCCAGCTCCTCACCCACTCTGCCACCAGGGCTCCTCTGCACCGCACACAGAGTCCCGGATGGAGGTGGTGGTTGTAAGACTGGGCTTCCTACTCTAGTCAAGTCCGTCTCAGACCCCCCCACCCCAGGGGTCGCCAGGAGTCAGCACGGACTCGCTGGCAGGGAGTGGACAGCTGCTGAGTCCCTCGGAGTCCGTCCACCCAAGGACATGCTTCCGAATGCAGCTTTCGCGTCCCACCCAACACCGGGAACGGTCCGAATATGCATCAGCCACGAATGAAGAAACAAGCGGGGGTAGACCCATACAGGGGAGTGCTACCTGGCCCCAGGAAACACAGAATTACAGATGCCCTCAATTCGGATAGCCTCAAAGATCCAAGGAGGAAGGAAGCCAGACACAGAAGAAGCTCTATTGTATGGCCCCACGTGCACGGGGTTCAAGTACAAGCGAGACGAGGGTTGGGCATCACGCACATACAGCAGTGTACACCTGGAGGCTAAGAGGCCCGTGGGATCGACTCAAAGCTCTGGACAATGGTTACCATGGATTTGTAAAAAATTATTCAGCGGCAACCTAAAGATTTGAGATTTTATCGTATGTATGCTACACATCAAGAAAAGTTAAGAAGTTATGTAAAACTTTGACCCCTTGTCCCCAGTCCCCAGAAAGCCTGACTTCATCAATCTGGAGTACAGCCTGGGTGGTTGTGTGTGTGTGTGTGTGTGTGTGTGTGTGTGTGTGTGTGTGTGTTTTCAGTAAAGAAAAAGCTGTGCATGTTCTCTTCGTCTCTGGTTTGAAACCAGTTCTAGTACATGGAAAGGGCCTCCAGCTCGGAAGGAGCCCACTGTGGCCCTCGGGCTGGTCACTCTCATGCCTCTATCGGTTGGTCAGACCATGCGTGAGGCCGTGCTGCCACAAGGCCATGGCACTGGTTTGCAGACACCCGTGCTGCGAGGTTTCAGCAGAGCTTCCAGGCTAAGGAGGCGGAGGAGAAAAGGCTGGGTGATCTGCTTCCAACCATCAGCCAATAAAAAGACTGAGGGATCACACCCTACTGTTTGAAAGTTCAGCTCAGGAGGGACTGGCTGCGGGAGAAGGCTAGCGTGTTTGGTCACGTGGAGGGAGAGTGGAGGGGAGGAACTGCTCAGCGAGACAGACTGACACACTGGCTGGGACAATGAACGCCAAGGTGCCCATTGGGAATGTGAACAAGAGAGCATGTGCCCCCGTGCTGAGCCCTCCCCTTAAACAAACAAACAAACAAACAATGCACCTCTGCAGCCCTCCCCCTCTCCACACACACACACATACACACACCTTGTCCACCACGTCACCATGTCCTGGCCATACTGGTCACCATTCAGTTCAAACCCTCCCTTGATTCAGGCCTCGCATAACAATTGTTCCTCCGGCCTGGAACGCCCTTCCCAGTTTGTATCCCAAACTTGACTTCCTCCTCCCACTCGGTGAGTTCCCACAGAAACGTCACCTCTTCGTCAGCCATTACTCTCCGTTACCATCCCCGGTCATTTTCTGCTTAGCCCTCAACACTATTTGCATTGATGGAGGTATGTGTTGCCTGGTGGGGGTGCTGCCCTCACTTTACCCTTGCCACCTGGCCCAGTGCTCAGTGGATTCAGGGAAGGTGAGGACGCATGGTCACTTGAGACCCTTTCGGACGGCAGAAGCGATTGTTGTTGGTCCTCTTGCCTTACTCAGCAGCCTCCAGCTTCTCTGCTCTCTCGTGAGGGTGCTGTTTACTTGTGAAACGTTTACTAGGCATACTTAACACGGGCAAGGCGTTTTACTGAATGCTAGCGAGGGCATTAAGAGAGGGCATAGTCCTTGCCCTCAAAAAAGCCCCATTCTGGAATGCAGACATCCAGGGGATGAACCCCATTAAGTAGTGAGCTGTGCTCAGATCATCTAAATATATGAGCACTTGGATCAGGGACCAGGCATCAAAGAACAAAAATCATATCATTATGTGCTCACCTCCCGATAACGATCGCTGAAGACTAATGGGTGCATAAGCAAATGCGGTGAAGAAAGCTGATGGTGCAGCTGAGAAGCAACAAAGCACACCAGCCTGTGTGATGACGAGGTGCCGAAGGGATCAGTTACCAGGCATCAAAGATCAAAAAAATCATATCATTGTGAATGAGGGGAAGTGCAGAGTGGGGACCCAAAGCCCATCTATAAGCAACTGGACATCCCCTTACAGAAGGGTCTCGGGGAGGAGACAAGCCAGTCAGGGTGCAATGTAGCAATGACGAAACATACAACTTTCCTCTAGTTCCTAAATGCTTCCTCCCCACCAATTATCATGATCCCAATTCTACCTTACAAATCTGGCTAGACCAGAGGATGTACACTGGTACAGAGAGGAGCTGGAAACACAGGGAATCCAGGAAGGATGGTCCCTTCAGGACCAGTGCTGAGAGTGGCAATACTGGGAGGGTGGAGGAACAGTGGGGTGGAGAGGGGGAACCGATTACAGGGATCTACATATAACCCCCTCCCTGGCGGAAGGACAACAGAAAAGTGGGTGAAAAGAGACGTCGGACAGTGTAAGATATGACAAAATAATAATTTATAAATTATCAAGGGTTCATGAGGGATGGGGGAGCAGGGAGGAAGGGGGAAAATGAGGAGCTGATGCCAGGGGCTTACGTAGAGAGCAAATGTTTTGAGAACGATGAGGGCAATGGATGTACACATGTGCTCTACACAATTGATGTATGCGTGGACTGTGATAAGAGTTGTATGAGCCCCTAATAAAACAATATATAAAAAGAGAAAAAGCAAAACGAAGAGTCACAGTCGCGAAGATCAATATGAGTTTCTGGTTTTTGGCTTTTGGTGGGACAAGAAGTGGCAGCCCAAACTTAAAGTGGCCCTTTCCCGACGAAGCCCGCGGGCTCGGAGGCTCGCTCCGGCGCGACCGCGTACGTGCGGCAGCACGTGGCCAAGGACCAGGCCGTGCGTAGGGCAGCGCGCCTACTGCCAAGGCGTCCGGGCCCCGCCTCCACCTGGCGCCTCTGCTCTGCGCAGGCACTGCCCAGGCCACCCCCGCCGGCGCGCGGGTCCTGACGGGGGGCGGGGCCTCGCCAGCCCGGAAGAGACGCCGCTCTGCGCATGCCCCTTCCTTTCCCGTCCCGGCTCTGCACGTAGCGGCCGCCGCGGTGAGTTCCCTCGCAGCGCTCGTTCCATCTGCCCCCCATCCGGGCCATCTTGCGTTCGCGGTCGCCCTGCCTCCCCGGCTTCGGGGCAGGAGGCATTTCTCCTTCGTTCTGCACGCCCATTTTTGGGGCCAGCAAGAGTTGGGGACGCACTTCTGCGTTGGGTTGGCGGAGTGGGGGTGAGGGCCAGAGGCTAGTCGGCGAAGACAGGCGTCTCCATGGCGGTGCCTTCGGCACGGGCCGGAGTGGTGGAGGATACGGGCCAAGGGCCCGGCTGGCGAGGGTCGGGAGGCAGCGTCCGGCCTGCCCACAGTCCCTGGGGTCAGGACCCCGCGCCCCAGGCCGCCTGCTGCCCTGCCGGTGAAGTTCTAACTTGGGAGCGAGGTGCGGGAGCCTCGTGCTGTGGCTTCTGGTTGGGCCCAGGCGCAGAGCGAGGGCCCACCTCTTTGCGCCCTTCGCGCTGGCCCCCAGTATTACCCGAAATACGGCCCTCCTTATTGCGCCTGTGGCTATAAGATCTATGCACGTCTTCAGCGAATAAAAAAAAGCCTTTGTTTTGAAATAGGCTGCCTACCCTTGTTCACGTGAGCGTGTTTGCCAGGGTGCGGATGGAACGTTCTGCTGGGCTCGAGTTTTGGGGGGTGGGGGGGGGTGTATGTCTCCTTCCTGACAGTTCTCTAGGCTGGTTGAGATTTTAACCCTGGGAGCAGTGGTTTTGTGTGGCCGTTCAGAGGTGTACACGGCGTTGGTCGGAGTGCTTTTGGTAACGGCTTCCTGCTTACAGATGTTGATGCCCAAGAAGAACCGGATCGCTATCTATGAGCTCCTTTTCAAGGAGGGGGTAATGGTGGCCAAGAAGGATGTCCACATGCCCAAGCACCCCGAACTGGCAGACAAGAACGTGCCCAACCTTCACGTCATGAAGGCCATGCAGGTAGTCAGGGGCCTGGGAGGTGGTGGAGATGGGCCGGTTCCCAACGAAGTTCAAGACCGCTCAAGGGGTGGCTGGAAATAGGTCAGCTGCTTGCTGCCCTGAAGGTTCCAGAGGCAGATGGGCACAGGCGAGGAGGTGAAAGAGGGAAACCTGCTTGTGCCACTGAATTTTGATGCCCAAGCCTCTAGTTTCTTGAAAGGGTGCTTTCCTGTTTTTCAGTCTCTCAAGTCCCGAGGCTACGTGAAGGAACAGTTTGCCTGGAGACATTTCTACTGGTACCTTACCAACGAGGGGATTCAGTACCTCCGGGACTACCTCCACCTGCCCCCTGAGATTGTGCCTGCCACCCTGCGCCGCAGTCGCCCCGAGACTGGCAGGCCACGGCCCAAAGGTATGGTGCCCACCTGTGTCCCCGGAGCTGCATTCTGGTGTGAAACTGGTCCTTAATCAGATGGGTGATGAAATTGACCTTTAGCACCCTTTCAAGTCGACTTGGCGGCCTTGGTCTGGGAACCTCTGTCCTCCCAGTGTCTTGGCAGCCCTGGTGTGCATCTTTTAAGGGGAGTGGGTCCCGGCCAGCCCACGAGGGGGCCTTTAACATCCCTGAACGGTTTGGAAAAACAAAGTCGGAGGAGACTGAGTTATTTCCGTTACGTGGTGAGGAGGTGTTACGTTTATTTTTTAAATAACGAAGGCGTCCTAAAAGATGGTGGTGGCTACGCAGGCTTCTGTATCTTTGGAGCAAAGGGTCCGGCTACACCTTGGTATCAGCTGGCTGCAGTGTCTCCTGCCCTCCCCTGATCCTTAGTTGCTCTGCTGGGGGATTTGGTTCTTTGGGTGGATTGCTTTCACACTCCCTGAGCATCTTGGGGGCCGATGTTACTGGTTCTAGTGGTCTATTTTCTCATTCAGGGGAACCGAGGGGAGAGGTCTTGGGAATGTTAGGTGTGAGATCACTGTTACAGGCATTAAAAACGAATCTGTGCCTTAGCACTGCTTCCACAGCCTGAGTCACATGGCCTTTGTATGTATTATACACTAGTGGGGGTGGGGCTCACTGTAGGGTTCGTCCTTAGCTGTTTGTGTCGTCCACTTTGATCGGTAGCTAGCTCCGATGCCACAATTTGACTGTTCGGATGCTTGTTAAAATGGCCTAGTTTCTGCATTTGTTAGTCATTGGGGAATGTGTGTTCCTGCTGAAGGATACTACTGTAGAAGCATGAACACCTTTTCTAGGGTTTGTAGCATTTTACACTGGTGGGGTTCCCTTAGCTCCTTTAAGGAACTAAACTGTCATTGGCTAGTCTGGCCTTGGAAAGTCCCCTGGCCCCCTTAATCATTGAAGGTAATTGCTCGTGAGACTAGGGTGCACTCTGTTCCTAACGTTAGAAGGGACAGCATTCCTGCATTGCCCTCTATTCACGGTATGGTCTGGTTTATGTAGGTCTGGAGGGTGAGCGACCAGCCAGACTGACCAGAGGAGAGGCCGACAGAGACACCTACAGACGGAGCGCTGTGCCGCGTGAGTAATGCGCCTCTCTTTCACGGGTGCTGAGTGGGCTTTTGCAGCAACTCCCACAAGAGTAACCCTATAAAGTAGCGGTTCTCGACCTGTGGGTTGTGACCCCCAAAGGGGTTGTGGGTTGTGACCCCCAAACGACCCTTTCACAGGGGTTGCGTGATTCATAACAGTAGCAGAATTACCGTAAAGAAGTAGCAACGAAAATAATTTTATGGTTGGGGGGTCACCACCACATGAAGTGTATTGAAGGTCCGAGGCATGAGGAAGGTTGAGAACCACTGCTCTAGAGGAAGGTAAACTTGAGAGGGTGCTCTTTTCTTCGTTCCACTGTTGTGCCCCTCCATAAATTGTGAGCCCCTTGAGTTGTTTGGCTGCAGAAAGGGGTGCAGCATCTTGTTTTGTAGGGGTGGTGGCACTGAGTTGGGACAACAGATGTTTGTTTACTCCACAAACACTGTGGTGAGCATCGTCTATTGTAGGGCAATCCTGAGCTGGAGAACTGGTGAAGATAAGCAACAAGCCCTGCCCACCGACCTGCTCTTCGTGGTGGGAGAGGGTAAATAAAATAAAGTCGATCTTGGGTGCACCCCCTGCCCCCAACAAGTTGATTGTAGGGTCCTGGTGGCACAGTGGTTACACACTTAGCCGCTAATTGGAAGGTTCAGGCCATCTGACCACTCCAGGAAGAAGCACGATAGAAAGAAACCGTTTGGCAGTTTTTGCTGTCTCATGGGGTCTCTGTGTGAGCCAGAATCTGTTGACAGCAACAGTTTGAGTTTTATCTTCTATTTCATTAAATTTTTTAGTTATTATAGCAGTTCTCTTTCTGGGGGTGTGAATGACACTTTCACAGGGGACACCCCGTTCATAACAGTAGCAAAATTACTATTATGATGTAGCAATGAAAATAATTTTGTGGTTGGGGGTCACCACCACATGAAATGTATGAGCGTCGTGGTGTTAAGAACGAAACTAAACTCCGATGTCAACAGAAGCTGGCACTTGACCCTGAGGCCCCCCCAGTGCACCAGGAAGGGTTACTTTCTGAAGTCAGTGTGTGCTGTGTGCGATGGCTGGTTTCTGATCTGCTGGGGGTGTCTGGTTGTTTTCGGCGGGCGGGGGGGGGGGGGGGGGGGGGGGGGGTGTATGCTAGGGTCTCTTGGTTCCACGGAAGGTAGAGGTTGCTGCTCATTGTGGGGTGACCACATTTGGCCTGGGAGGCTGCCCCAGAGGACAGTTGGGCTTCCACCAGAGGGTGGTGAACTCTCTGAAGAGAGGATCCACGAGAAAGGGCAGACACGCTTGTCGACAGCAAAGGTGGTCTGGCAGGGCTTCAGGGCCATGAAATGGGTCTAAAACAGGCTCCAGGGTTGTTTTTAAGTCTTTGAAAATCTATTTTTCGACTATCAGTTTGAACCGGTGGTCCGTGTGGCACTAGATCTGTGGTCCTGTTCGCCCTGGGGTCATGTTGGGCACTGCTCTGGCTTCCTCTACAATTGTGGAGTGGCATGGTAGGTTGTGCATTGTTCTGCTAACCGCCAGGTCAGCAGTTCCAACCACCAGTCAGTAGGAGAAAGATGGATCTGTATGCTTCAGTAAAGATGCATGGTCTTCGCCCTAAGAAGAGTTGCTCTGTGTGGAATTGGCCCAATGGCAGTAGGTGGCCTTTGGCCCCTTCCCCAGTGTTTAGCTTCTGTGGGCCCTTTCTGCCTTCACTTCTTAGTTCTTCCCTTACTGAGTTCCTGCGGTCCTCCAGAGGCCGACCTGAAGCGTGTGACGGTCTCCTGGACTGGGGGTGGCGTGTGTCCAGCATTGAAGGAGGCACAAGTCCCTAGGAGTGACTTGTCGAGTGCTGAGAAGTGCTTTGCTGCCCGACTTGGGAGAGAAGCTGGGGGGCCAAGGTGCCTCTCACTCTCCTGGGTTCAGCAGTCGATCAGAACCGATGAAGACTCTAAATTGGTGGCTCTCATTCATTCCAGCTGGTGCCGACAAGAAAGCCGAGGCTGGGGCTGGGTCAGCCACGGAGTTCCAGTTTGTAAGTACTCCGAATGCCCCGTGGGTGTGCAAGCTGGGGAGGGTCCATAGTGCATCAGGTACATCCCCCCCCCCCCCTCGTCCTCTTCTCAAGCCACACTCACGAGCAAGCTCACACTGAGATGCAGTAAGGCGGGTGGCATCAGTCCTTCCCAGTGCACTGACTGCTGGTGACAAGCCCCTCAGACGGCGTCCCTGAACGAAAGCTACTGAAACCCAATGAAGAACCAAGAGAGTCTGGCCTTAAGTCCTCCGCCAGAGTGTGGTCTGGCCAGCCTCCCCTCGGGGCCTTAGTGGTCTTGTCCGCAACAGAAGTGATGGCTTCCGGCGCTTCGGGTTGTAAGACTTAGTCGGACAAAGTAATGTGTTTGCCGATTACATCCCGCGTGCGTGCTGGGTGCCCGTGTGGAGGTGGCCCTGCCTCTAATCAGTAAGGAACGTGGGTGGACTGAATGGCCTGTCCCTAACTGCTCAGACTTGGGGTCCCTCCCATGGTGAGAAGAGGGAGCGCTGGGCGTGCTGCGGGCACTGAGGCCTTTTGTTTTCTCTTGCAGAGAGGCGGATTTGGTCGTGGACGTGGTCAGCCACCCCAGTAGAGTCGGAGGGGATGCTTTTGTGGTGAATAAACCTGTAACCAGAAAAGAAAACGTGGCTTTGCGTGTCCCCCGTTTGTCTTCACCGGAAGGGTGTGAGTGGATTGGCTTTGAGGAGTGCTTCATTCAGGTGTGTGGGGCCATTGGGCTCCAGCAGGTGCTCCCTATCCTAGAGCGTCCCTGTAGGTGCTTAACTGCGGGTAGGCAGTAGAGAGCCGAGCATTTTTACTGCCCCACCCTCCCTGCCTTAACTCTGCTGGCAAAAGAGCAGCTCTGAGTTCCTGTCTGTGCCCGCTGTTTGTTGATTTCTGGTGAGCTGTTCTGAGACGATCAAAGCCAAAGAAATAATTTCACACAACCCTGCGCAAATTAACTTAGGGGAGGGGCGGGGTTGGGGGGGCACAGGCCGATCCATTTTTCAAGTGGAATAAACACAAGGTGGTTGGTGTCTGCTATCCTGAGGCTCCTGAAATGCTGTTTCCCGGGGCCTATAGAAGCGCCGTGACTCAGCTTTCAACAGGAGGAAGTGGACCAGAACATGGGCTCGGGACTCAAAACTGCATTCTGCTGGCTTCAGTTTCCCTTTGGTGATGAATCCATACTGCCTCGAGGCACTCTGGGGGCCTGGGGTGGGTGGCAAGAACCGCTGATGTCTTTCCTAATAGCAGACCATAGGCCCAACACACATTCCTACAGGCCCAGGTCAGTCACCTGGCTGGCTCCTGCCGGTGATGGTCAGTGAGTTAGTCCTGGTGCTCTCCAGACAGACTGGCCACCTGAAAAAGGTAAGGTTTTTCTGCCTGTAAACCAGGTAGCTGACAGATGTGAGAGTTAGTATTATGGGCCGGAGCTTTCATGGGGTTGGAGAGTGGCTGGTAGAAATCAAAATATTTGTGATAACTGATAAAGGTGTTTTGTGTTGGCAACCACCTGCTGCAGCCTGTACCACTCACAGCTGTCATCGACACCACTAGATGGCAGCCATCGGCAACCCTGAGAGAGCACTTCCCTGAGCTCTGAGCACCAGTAAAGGGAAGCTTGCTTTGGCACGAAGTGGTCTCATTTGAGGGTGCTGTGTCGGCGCCATTGTGCTGCCTTGCCAAAGATGGCTTTTTCCCCAGGTTTTCGTTTTCATTCCTGCTGGCTCCAGTGTGTCCAGTGGTTGCCTGTGTTCGCACGCTCTGCTTCTTTAACCTGGATTCTGCTGTGCAAGGGGACTCAGCCCCCGGCCCTGCTGGTTCCCTCTGAGCTTGACAGGCAGTTGGGTTTTCTCCCTAGCCTTGGCCCCCAAATGTCCCTTCTTGCCAGCCCCTTCCCTCGGGATTTCATCCAGTTGGCTCTGGGTTATAACTTTTGGCTCGCTCATGGAAAACCAGAACAGCTACTGCCCACCAGCTTCTCACCACCTCGGGACATTGAATGGCCACTCTGTGGGTGTCAGGGACCATCCTGTTACTGCTCTGAGGAACAGCTCAGGTGTTCTTGACAACTCAGTCACGTTGTTACTGAAAGCTGCCCCTTAACCAGTGATGCCAACTTTCTAAGGAAGTAGAATTTTCAAGCAAAGGTAGGAAAGCAACATTTGCCTTCTGTCACTTGTCATGCTTTGGCAGGACCGAAGTGGGTGAGGTCACTCGAAGGGCAAATTAGTCTGCAAAGGGAAGGGGGGACCGACTTCCCCACAACCGAATGGGCCCAAGGGCCGGTTGTGTAATTGAGTGTAAATTAAAGAGACACTTCTAGACAAGATAAAGCATGCAAGGGCTCACCTGTTTAATGACCAGAATGAGAGCACACTTGATTGACTCACAGACTTCTATAATCGGGCACGCAGCCCACAGTAGGTAAGCACATACGTTACAGAAAGGGTTTGTAAAAGGCATATATATGGCAGGAGGGATAAGAGCTAGGAGTGTATGCACAATGGGCAGGGTGGTAATGGAAAGGTACGTGTGACAGGAAGGCGCATAACAAGATGGCAGCCTAACCCTGGCCATCTGAGCTGCCTTGACCTTAGACAACATTGAACTCTTCAGGGCAACAGTCCATTATCCTTATCAGAAGGGAGTGGGCTGTACAGGGTGGGATAGACAGTAGGGTCTGATGGCAGATAACCTCTGAGCAGTTGACCTTCAAGCTTATAGCACCTTAAATTTGGTATTATTATGCAGGTATTGTGGGAAATAACTTAGGAGAATGTGAGTGGGTCATATCTCCAACCCACAAATGGAAGGTTCTGTTCCCTTCTTGGCAGCCTTGGCCTTCCAGACTCCTTAACAAGTGAATGTCGTGTCCTCATCCTCTCTGCACAGTTCTGTTTCCCACCAGAGACAAGGAAAACCCACCTGGCAGCTGCATTGGCATAGCCAGTCTTGAAAAAAAGTCGACGTTTGGGCCTTTTGCCATTGAATCTGCCTACCAGTAATTCCCCATCGAAAGGGCTCCAGAGGTTTGGGAGTACATTTCTTTGATTTAAAACTGCACAAATACTTACACCCTGAAAGCAGGGCAGTGCCAATAATTTAAAACTAGTTGTCTTAAGTGGTAACTGAGAGTTTTGATTGAGTCCAGGAAACAGTTAACACGTGAATGTTAGGTGCTGAGGAGACAAGAGATTTAAAGTTAGGTCCTTTATCCTTGAAGGCCCAATAGACCGTTCACGAGGACAGTGTTTGCCTGGTCCCACACTGGTCTCCAGGCCTGCAAAGTGAGGGCTCAGAAAGGCTCAGTTCCTGGAGCTCCACCGCTGGGCTCCACGGCCTGCATAGGGTTGGGGCTGGGGCTCTGGGTTGCTGCAGCTTCAAAGAGTTTCAGCGCTGCACTGTTAGGATGTGTTTGTCAGCCCTTTTACTTTGAAGATCTTAGAGGGAAGATGGAAGGACCACCTTGCTGAAAGCACACATTGAGGCGATTGTTTCAAAGCCCATAGTTGTTGGGGACCATGATTTAATTGGGGGAGCCTTTTTGGTTGCTGTGGAGGGAAGCTGGGAGTCACCCCCAAAAGGGGTGGTCTGGTCCTGTCAGCAAGTATAACATGGAGCTCCCACCCTCCCTGCTTGACTTGCCCCGGCCTGCCGTTAACTGCAAGGGCACTGCAGTCACCTGGGAAAGGCTGCCCCTGCTCCTGGCTCTGTCCAGCTTTCAACCCTTCACTGCCCGGGAGCCTAGCGTATTTTTTAAAAAGCGGTGTAATCCAGGAACTCCCTAACTTAAAATCCTTCAAAGCCTCCATGTTGCCTTCTGGAGTCTTCTAGAAACCAGTGCCAAAAATCTTCCGCGACTGTGAACTCAAGCTCCCTTGCTTCAGGCGCTTTTAGCCTGTGGCTCTCCGTCACGCCCATCCTGCACTCCATTTGGGTCGTTCTCACATTCTCTGAAGAAGCTTCCTAAAGTGTCCCTCCTGCAATCTTTCCTGTCATGGGCTGGAATTGCGTGGGCACATGCCTCAGTGCTGCAAACAGTAGCTCCTTTATAACTTAGCTAAGAGAATGTTGCCTCAGGAGAAGTTGGTCTCTTGATAAAAGAGATTGTTGGTCTACACAGTCTCACCCTAGTGGTTCTGCCAGCTTTGGGAAGGCACTAGAAACATCAAGTGGTAGGTGGCCTAGTGGCTATCGCTAGGGCCTTACTCAGGGCGTGGAACGGGTCACTGACCATGGGGAGTAACTACACCTGGTTAAGGTTTGACACAGGTAGGTGCATGCCCATCACTACAAAGGTTCCCTTCTGTCCCCCAGGCCAACGCTCATCTACTTCTGTCCCTGTAGATGAGTTGGTATTTTCTCGTTGTGTATAACTGGGGAAAGTGGGTGGTATTGTTTGAGGTTCATCAATATTATTGCATACCTCAATAATGTGCTCCTTTTCATTGCTGTGTAATATTCCACAGTGAGGATGCATCGCAATGTACTTACCCAGTCACCTGTTTGAGAGGTTTCCAATTTTGCTATTTTGAATACGGCTGCTGTGCACATCTATGTACACATTTTTGTGGGGGCTGTGGGCATATGTTTTTAACTCTCGGTACCAACGAGTGGAATTGTGGGGCTGTCTGGTAAACTTTATGGCTATCATTTTGAGGAACAACCAACTGTCTTCCAAAATGGTGTCACTTCACATCCTGCCAACAGTATACATTCCTCATCCTCACAACCCGTACGTAGGTTTGGGCAACATTGTTGAAGTAATCTAAGGAACTCTGGTGATGTAGTAGGTTACAGGCTGGCTGATAACCACAACATCAGCAGTTCGAAGCCCCCAGTGGCTCTTTGGAGAAAGATTAGGTTTTCTGCTCCCCTTATTATTTACAGCCTCATAAACACACAGGGGCAGTTGTCCTGTAAAGTCTGTGGGAGTTGGAATTGACTCGTGGCAGTGACAGGCGTGCAAGGGGCCCTGGGTAAGTGTCGGGCTGCTAGCCCCAAGGCTGGGGTGGTCCCAGGCTGTTCAGGATAGCGGAGGCTGCCCGCTCCCATAGTAACGGTTTACAGCAGTCTTGTACACCTAAAGAGCACTTCAACTCTGACCTATCAGGTCACTACGGGTTGGAATCCACTGTGGCAAGTGGACTTTTGGGTTTGTGGGTACCGGGTCTAAGTAGTTCAGATTTTCATGAGCCAATTAGCCTTATGAAGGTCAACCCATGAAAGAGCTCTTAATGTTTGGCAAACCCTGGAGAGCCAGCCCCCACGACCAACTGGTAGACGGGGCCTGCTGAATCTGGGTCTGCGGTGGCCACACTGGGGCACTGCGTGGTCATGGGTACTTGGTCAATAGTAGCCACAAGACACAGCCTGCTAATGAGAAAGGGAGGGGGACTTATCCATCATTTGATTGCTCAGTTTTAGAAAAGGAAACGACAGAATGAGGGCATTCGAGAGGAAAATGAAAGGGGTTGTCTAAAGTTACAGCCCATAGAAAGCTGGGAGCCCATTTCTTTCTCAAAGCACTTTATGGGAAGCCCGTGATAAATGAATGGCGCAAATCCAGAACAGCCGCTTGACAAATAAGCCGGGCATGGTTTACGGACACATCAAAGGGGCCATTGTGAGGAAG